TGGGGAGGAAGGGTGGGGGATGGGAGGGGGGGGGGTGGAGAAAGGGTGTGTGGATGGGAGGAGGGTGGGTGGGAGAGGGGTGGGTGGATGGGAGGAGGGGTGGGTGGGAGGTGGGGTGTGGAGGGGGGAGGAAGGGGGTGTGGATGGGGGAGGAGGAGGGTGGGTGGGAGGAAGGGTGGGTGGATGGGAGGGAGAGTGTGTGGATGCGGGGAAGGGTTTGTTATTTATTTTATATTGTTTGGCTCTCTGAGGCTGGCTTGAGGTTTACGGCTGACTAGCTGAAGTGAACGGCTAGCTGGCTGAGGTGAATGGCTGGCTGGGCTGAGGCAAATATCTGGCTGGCCAAAAACCCCACGAAACAGATCCTCAATGCCAGACAGGCTGCATGTCGTCATTGGCAAGTACTGGGCAAGAACTGGCTCCAGAATGTTTCTGCACCTGCGCCAATGTTGGTCAAATCTGGTCTTGAATGAGCTCACTCTCGGTGCTGTCACACTCTCTGGCAGAGTGTGCCAAGAGTTTACAAACTCAGATAAAGTTTACAAACTCGACAATGATCTGAAGTTCTCGGGCCAATGTGAGAAGAAGGTAAATCAGGCAAATAAAATATTGGGTCTTATAAGAAGGTCGTTCAGATATCTAGACGGTCCGTCTCTCGTAACGCTCTTCAGGAGTGAAGTGCTTCCCCATCTGGAGTACTGTCACCCCGTCTGGTCCCCGAGATATGCTAGGGACTGTCAGTTGGTTGAAAATGTTCAAAGGAGGGCCACCAGACTGGTGCCTGCACTTCGGCACCTCAGCTACCCTGAGAGATTGGAGCGCCTGAACTTGCCTAGCTTATACTACAGACGGGCAAGAGGTGACCTAGTTGAGGTGTATAAGCATCTCAGGGGGCACTACTCAGTTGAGTGTCCTTACTTGGAGCTGGCGGACGCTCGCCCCACAAGGGGTCACAGCTCAAGATTGAAGAAGCCGCAAGTCCAGAAAACCGTAAGGGCAAACTTTTTTGGAGTGAGGGTTGTAAACTCTTGGAACAATCTACCAGAGGGTGTTATGACGGCACCGAGTGTGAGCTCTTTCAAGACAAGACTTGACCAACACTGGAGAGGGTCCAGGTACATTCAGGAGCCGGTGCATGCCCAGTATTTGCCAACAGTGCGTGACAGAGACGGGACCGATCGTCCGGGCGGCTAGCCAGCCGATCTTTTGGTGAAGATAAATGAAAAGGAAAAGTAATCAGAGACGTGACCGATCGCCCAAGCGGCGAACAAGCCGATCAGTGGCGAAGAGGATAAAAGTAAAAAGAAAAAGTTTGCCTTGACAATTTTCCGAACTTATGGCTTCTTCAACCATAAGCTGTGACCACCCGCCTCGCTGGGCTACTGGGGCACGTCCTCCAGCTCCAAGTATGAACCCTCGAGTGAGTAATGCCCTCTGAGTTGTTTATAAACTTCAATTAAGTCGCCCCTTAACTACCTGTAGTATAAGCTAGGCAATTCCTGTAGGGGGAGGGATATAAATTTGCCCCACTTAAGAGTTTGATAAAAAACAAACAAATATGAAGCACTATGAGTGTATTGTACGTGGATATTAAAGATTCACATGGTATACTGTGCGGGTAAACTGAGAATATGAACAAGTACTGTGTGTACTTGTACTGTACCTGAACCCGCTCCAGTGTTGGTCAAGTCTTGTCTTGAAAGAGCTCACACTCGGTGCCGTCACAACACTTTCTGGTAGATTGTTCCAAAAGTTCACAACTCTCACTCCGAAAAAGTTTGCCCTCACAGTTTTCTGGACTCCAAGTAAGGACAATCGACTGAGTAGTGCCCCTTGAGATGCTTATACACCTCTATTAGGTCATCCCTTGCCCGCCTGCAGTATATGCTGGCATGTTCAGGCGCTCCAATCTCTCAGGGTAGCTGAGGTGCCGAGGGGCAGGCACCAGTCTGGTGGCCCTCCTTTGAACATTTTCAACCAACTGACAGTCCCTAGCATATCTCGGGGACCAGACGGGGTGACAGTACTCCAGATGGGGAAGCACTTCACTCTTGAAGATTGTTACGAGGGACGGACCGTCTAGATATCTGTACAACCTTCTTATAAGGCCCAATAATTTATTTGCCTGATTTACCTTCTTATCGCAATGGCCCGAGAACTTCAGCTCATTGTCAACATACACACCTAGGTCCTTCACACATTGTCTCAAATAGTGCAGTTTCTTCACCCCGTTGGGACATATGATACGCCTCCTTATCGTTGGTACGCCCCAGGTGCATCCTCTTACACTTCGTGGCATTGAATCTCAGCAGCCATTTCTTTGACCATTCTTGAAGCCCACAGAGGTCCTTCTGCAGCTCTTCACAGTCCGCTTGGTTCTTGATTTCCCGAAATAACTTGGCATCATCGGCAAACATTTGTATGGAGGAGTGTACAACGTCAGGCATGTCATTTATGAAACGAACAAACAACAGCGGGCCCAATACACTGCCCTGTGGTACCCCGCTTGTGACAGGTACGGATGATGATTTCGTGCCATTAATCACCACACACTGCTTGCGGTCATGTAGAAAATCTTCTATCCACGCTAGGACATTTCCCCGAATTTCGTACCCTTCCAGTTTGATTTTCAGCCTTTCGTAGGGTACACTGTCGAAAGCCTTGGCAAAATCTAGGTAAATATTGTTGATATTAACACCCCGTTCCGGAATATGGGTCCAAATATCTAATACCTTGAGCAACTGTGTTAAGCAGGAGCGCCCCGGCATAAAACCGTGTTGGCAATCCTTTACAAGGTTGTTTCGTAGTAGATGTTCCATCGCGGCATCTCTGAAAATACTCTCAAGTACTTTGCATATTATGCTGGTCAGGCTCACCGGTATATAGTTGTTCGTGGAGTGACGATCGCAGGGGCAGCAGCAGGCTTGGGGGAGTAGAGCTGCTCGAGGGTGTCCATCCTGCGGTGTAGAGATTGTAGCAGGTCCCTCATGTCTTGTTTGTCTGATAAGATGCTACTTGTCTGAGGAGCGTTGATCTGCTTGACGAGACCGGAGCTGTCATGGTTTTGGGGTGGATCGGTGGTTCGGTGGTAGTAGGAGTGGATTATATTATATAAAGATAATAATATGTCTTATTTCTTACCGTAGAGTCCGATACCTTCACACTGATTACTTACAGGAGATTATGGCGTATCTACGTAGAAGTTCACTCCACCACTCGACATTCCATGATTTATACTTGATAAATGATGATTTGATGAATTCATTTAATTTTCAACATCTATATAAGTTACTGGTTATACTTTGTCATAACCAATCAGTCATTACCTTTAGTAATAATAAGATAGGATCACAGATACGGGCAGATAATTGCACTTACATTTATTTGTCAAGCTTCCATACAATGATTTACAATTTGCATGGATATATGATTTACTCACGTTCACGCTGTAATAAAATTAATCTTCTAAAACAGGGAATTTCCAACTTGGGGACACATGTGATTACTCTACTGTGGTATGACTTAACAGAGCCTTAATTCTTCAAGTGATTCATTTACTGCCAGCCTGGATTGCTTTTGTTGCAACCAGGCTTCATCACAAGAACTTCTTCCCACGGCCATAACAACAAAAAGGTACTCTTGGGTTACCACACATAGTCTCGCGTCACTGACAGTCACTGTGGACGGTTGTCGCGGCAAGTAGAACTGGTAAGCGTGACTTGAATTAACCATTAGGTGCAATAGACCAGCCTGGATTGCTTTTGTCGCAACCAGGCTTCCACACGTGATATTTCCACGGGGATAACAAACCTAGGTTAACACACTTAGTCTCGTGTCGACGACGGTTCACAGGACGGAGTGCGGTGGAGGACTCTGTGTGGTGTGGTGTCCCGCCCCCCCCTTCAGGAGGGAGAGGCTGGAGGCGACGTCTTAACTAACCCATGGCTCAGGGGATACTACTTAAAATGAGGTTTTTGGGTGTGAAGCGATGAACAGTACAACACTGTTCCACTGCCCACCCCCCTAAAGGCTGGCTAACATACACTAATTGAAAAATACATGTCCCAGTTATGCCTCGCCGGGCGTCTTATCTCTGGTAAAACAAACTTTGGAGTTGGTTGCGTGGGTAAGCCTAACGCAACCCATGACAGGAGCTAAGTGGAGGCATGGCCACTGAGTTGTACGCGGCAGCATGGTGCACAGCAGTGTGTTCATGGAATACTCTGTCTGCCGTGCTTGCGTAGGTCGCCGGGGTTGTAGAGTAGTCCAGTGCTGACAGGGCGAGACGAACTTCTGCAAGGAGCTTCTGAGTGTGAAGCTGGCGCAGGAGTGTCAGGAAGCCTGTCTGTGTGGTGGGGGGAGTTCAGCCTCCGCATCTCATCCCAGAGACGTGCAGGCATTGAGTTGCTGAGGGGGAGACTTGATAGGTCTTGCAGGAGACTGGCGCCAGGCCGCTGGTATCGCCTCTTTAGAGCATCAAGTAGAGCTGCAAATTTGTTGTCATTTGGAGGCTGAGTGATGACTTCTGAGACTTGCGTGGTGACTTCTGTGGGCAAGGAACAGACAAGGGCGACGTACTTCTGTTCGTCTGTAGCTGTAGAGCCGGTGAGAGCTGCCTTCACATGAATTATCCAGTCCTCGATGTTGTGGTTGAAGACTGGGAGAGAGATCCATTTCTCATTCATCCTGTGTGAGTGCGTCACTCCGTGGGTTACCAATTGTAGCGTGCGTATATGTGGCAAAGTTAGTCAAATTTATCTTTCTTATGTTTGTTTAGTTAGGTCTGTTTTTTATATGACTCATACCCACAAATATTAAGTAACGTTTATTTTGAAAATATAAATTTTTTAACATATTTCCACAAACTACAACAGTGTAACAGTGAAAATCCGGTTTCATATTTTTTTCAATCAATTTCGCTCATTGGTTCGTCCTATATAATTACCAAAACATTAAAAAAAAATCTTCAAAACTGCACTCGCACTGTCTTAACGGGATACAATAACTTAACACCAATGAGAGAGAAAATACTGTAGGTCAGCTTGTTGTTAGTGAAGACAGCGGTACGAGAAGCTTGACTCAACGTAAACAACAAGCTTAGAGTCGGTCGGTGCATCACGGACGAGGAGACTAGAACAACTTGCATACATAATAAGAGGAAATTATAGATATATAGGTGAGCTGGAGGTGCTTTGTTCTCGGTAGATGCTATTGATGGACTAGGTCTTAACATCCCCGCCAGTTTCTATAGAAAGAGTTAATATTTTCCTGTTTGGACTTAGTAGGTATTAGGCAGCTACCAAACAGGGAGGTACTACCGCCTGGGAAGATATTGGAAGCATAATGTGTTGTCTAATGGTAGACCCTACTGCTATATGTGACCAAGTCCCAGGTTGATGATCTGACTTTCTGCCTCATTTACACACAATTGCAGGGTCTCAATTGTTTCTCTTACTTTAACAATGGTAAATTTGTATAAGGGCACCCAATACTGTTAGAAAGTAAAAACTATATTTTTTTAGTGTATTTGTGTGGGTTTAAACTGATTATGACCTTCATTCCTGTCGGAAATTGGGGTATTATTGCATTTTTTCACCCCACATTTCTACCCGTAATCTATTATCATATTCGAATAAGACTTCTAATTGTAAGATAATTTTCTTCTATTACATTACTGTCGCAAATGTATAATAACGGAGATAGCATATCCAAAATTTTCTCTATTTCTTCCATTAATCTTCCGCCATTATCGCCTACCTCATCTCCCACACTGCGTGTCTCCTTTGTAAATCATTACACGCATGCGTTCCCGTACACGTCACGCGGCCAATCAAAAGCGTTTTTTTTTTTTTGCAACCAATTAAAATGATTTTTTGTTTAATTCACAGTATTTTTGGCCCAATCAAATTCGATTTTATTTTGAATCTCTCATATTTCCAAATTCATATTCATTTCCTACCATGGAATGATGGAAGTCTGTGATGGGTGTTACTTAAATTATATGGAGCTGATTGCGAGTTTTTGGGAAAAAACGAAGAAAGTCTAGCATAATTTCTTGGTCGCATGGTGTTCTCCCGACCTCAGTAAAGTGTCTTCATCACTTCTTGGAAGAAGCTGCCCGCCTATGCCCCCCATTAAGCGAGAATCAGCATCAGCAACCTGTAAGAATCTCAGAATCCAATGATGAACAAGAACCAGGCCAATAAGGTAAGAAATAGGTGATTCTATCATATGGTGAGAGTCAGTTAGGTTAGGTTAGGTTTGGTTTATGTTTTTCTAGTGTTTTATTTTTTGGTGTATTTTGTATTCTCTTAGCCATCATTTTTTTTCAGAAAACGTCCCACGAAAAAAAAAATCGATAAAAAAAGCCGATTTCCAACGGAAATGAAGGTCATAATCAGTCTAAACACACACAAATACACTAGAAAAATATATTTTAACTTTCTGACAGAGTTAGTGCACTTATGCAAATTTACCGAAATTGGCAGTTTTTTTTTTATTTAATTTTTCGTGGGACGTTTTCTGAAAAAAAAATAATGGCGAAGCGAATACGAAATACATTGTACACAAAAAACACTAGAAAAACATAAACCGAACCTAACCTGATCTAACCTAACCGAATCTCACCATATGATGGAATCACTTATTTTTTACTTTATTAGCCTGGTTCTCGTTCGTCGTTGGAGTTACCACAATGTCACATATGTTGGTCTTGACGATATTTACATTCGTTCTTGCACTTAGGACACTTTATTGAGGCTTGGAGAATACCATAAGATCGAAAAAATGCTAGAGTTTCTTTGTTTTCCCCCAAAACTCTCAATCAGCTCCATATAATTGAAGTGACACCCATCGCAGACTTCCATGGTCGGAAATGAATTTGAATTTGGAAATATGAGAAACCTAAAATAAAAATAAAATTTGGTTGGGCCCAAAATACCGCGAATTAAACCACAAATCATTATAATTGGTTGCAAAAAAAACGCTTTTGATTGGCCGCGTGACGTGTACGGGAACGCATGTGTGTGATGATTTATGAAGGAGACACGCAGTGTGGGAGGTGAGGTAGGCGATAATGGCGGAAGATTAACGGAAGAAAATAAAGAAAATTTTGGATACGCTATCTCCGTTACTATACATTTGCGACGGTAATGTAATAGAAGAAAATTATCTTATATTTAGACGTCTTATTCTAATATGATAATAGATAAAGGGTAGGAATGTCGGGTGCGAAAATGCAATAATACCTTAGCAACACAACATTCATTCTGTATATCGTTTCTCACTTTTGATTTATTTTGGGCAATTTGTAGTAGTGCACCGTTCTTTCTTTGGGTACTAGAAATGTGTTTTTATTGTGGTTTTGATGAGTTTTGAACAAATTTGACATTCATATCCGTCGGAAATCACTCGATTTTTAGATACCTTCCCCCCCCCCCCTTCCCACAATCTTAAGGGAAGATGCTGGGAAGTGGGAGTTTTTGGGTGGGGGAAATCACAGAAACAGGTGATTTCCAATGGAGAACAAGTTCAAAAGTCATCAAAAGCCACAGGAAAAAACATTACTAATGCCGAAAGAAATATAAGGTTATTTTTTGTTATTCACCCATCACCTTTTTTCACACAAAAATATATATACTGTATATTCTTGCTGTTTTAGATGATTCTGACATTTATCTTTGGGGCAAATCACTTTTATTTATTTATTTGTATTTTTTAGTTAGGTTAGGTTGATTGGTTGGTTCCTTTAGTATGAGAATAGGTTATGTTTGGTGTATTACTCAAATCTGACCTTAATTTTTTGTGCAAATTAAAAAAAATGCAAAAAATTATTTTCATTTCAACAGAAACTACTAATTTGCACAAAAATGGAGGTCAGATTTAAGTAAAACACACCAAAATTAACCCCTTCCCATACTATAGGAACCAACCTAACCTATTCTCATACCAAAGGAACCAACCTAACCTAAACTAACCTAACCTAACTAAAAAAAAGTGATTTGCCCCAAAGATTAATGGCAGAATCATCTAAAACAGCAAGAAACTATAAAAAAAATATACCGTATACAGTATATATTTTTCGTGTGAAAAAAGGTGATGGGTGTTTCACAAAAAATAACCAAATATAACCTAACTTAACCTACCTCTTTTTCTGTGTAAAGAAACAAACAAACATAGAAAATCACCAAAAAATAACCAAACCTAACCGGCTAACCCAAACTGACCTAACCTAATTAGGAGGGCTCTGTCCCCCAGAACCCCCTTGTTCATGCCCCCATATCTCACCTTAATCTGAAGAAGAATCAAGTTCATCTGAGTTGTCGATGTTTAAATCGATGATTTGAAGTGGTGCTCATGGGAGTGTTTTCTAAAAAATGCAATGGCCTCGGTATTTTTCTGATGGAAATCGGCAAAAGACTTAAAATAATCACGTTGACAATGTCGGCACAGCTCTTCCACCTGTTCAGCCATATCTGGTACTGAAATTCAAAATTTCCCCCCTGACGCACCCACGCATTGCTCATTGGCTAAGACAAAGAGCTCTTACCCAATAATAAGTCTCCCCTCGCCGTGCTCTCCCCAATAATGTTACCCTCACCCTCTTCTTCCACTAACCAATAAGAACTTCCACACCATCCCTGCACACGGGAGCAGGACGTAAACAAGCAATGGGAGCGACTTGTGAACTACAAAAGAATAATATTGGAGAAATAACTTCTTGGTTATCCTTAAATTATGACGAAAATATCATAGAAGAAAAAGTCTTAGAATTGTCCAAGCATTCAGAAAAACATTTCTAACACCGAAAGATAGAACGGTGCACTAATATAAAAAGACCTTTATTTTTTTTATTTGTGGTTATTATTATTTTTTATTATATTAGTTTAATTTTTAAGTATTATTATTATTTATTTATTATTATTATTATTATTATTATTATTATTATTATTATTAATATTGATATTATATTTTTGCCCCCCAGGCCCTGATGTAGGTCGGTTACCTCATCGCTATAAGAACAGTCCAATCCCAACCATTGTAAAAATTATCAATAACTTGTAATCAACCAGTGTATTCACTCCCAGTCAATCTTACTTTTTGCACTGTCACTATGTTGAAATGCCCTGTAGTATGACCTTCTCCCCACCTAGTTATTATATATCATATTTGTATCACTTATGTTACTTGTATATTATTTGTAAATCAAGAGACCCATTCCCCAATTATGTAACTGTATATTTTCATCCTTCCGGCTGCCGTGCTCTTTCAGTAAACTGTTTATTATTATTATTTATTATTACACACACACACACACACACATATACAATACTACAGGTAAAAGAAATAATTGTCCTAAGGGCAGACACATAAAGGGAATATATATTTCTTTGTACACAAGTACAGGTACAAATAAATAAATAAATATATAAATAAATACAGTGACCCCTCGTTTAACGAACACCTCGGTTAACGTAATTTCGATTAACGAACTGCCTTCCATAAGGATCTTCAATTCGGTTAACGAAAAAAAATTCGCTTAACGAACTTCTTACGAACCGACCTCAACATGTTTTCGCTTGCACTGACCGGGCAACCAGCTTTAGTATCAGTCCGCCAATACATTAATCGGTTCTAGGGCTTAAATTCCTTACTATTTTTGTAAATATCAAGAAGTTTATACTATTCAATAATTTTAAAAGTTTAATATTCAATTTTTTAGTCATTTTAACAATTATTGAACAAAATTGAAGGTAAAGTGACTAGTTTAATGCGCGGCATCCAGCCTCTTAACACAGCAAACAGGCGTCAGTCTCTCTCTGTTTTCACTGGAGGTAACATCTTGCTTGAGACTCTCTTCAACTAAACGCTTTTTTTCTGTGTTTCCAAGCAAATTATTGGTCATTTTGAAATATATTTTATATATTGACAATATATAATGCAGTGCAGCGTTGATTTAAAGAAAATAATCTTGAATTAAACCAGAGAGCTAAAATTTTATGGGTGAAATGGCACCATGGGGTGACTTCTCTTCCACCCCAATGCCTTCTCTTCTTCCTTCTCCTCCACCCCCATTCTAAATCCCATCATCATCATCATCATCCAGGAGCCTTCTACATACACACCTCAAAGTAAGTGAACTTTTCTACCATTTTTGTTGAATTTAGGAAATTTTCG